TTCCACGACCTCCAACTCTCCTTCAACTGGGCAGGAAGACAGGAGTCTCACACTCTCACAGGAGGGCCTCTTCACCACGTCGGCACCTCTTCTTCACTGTCCTGCCATCCATACACACTGTCCTCTCTGACAGTCCTGGACACAAGCTGCCTTGCAGCCTATTCTACTATTAAAGTAATAAAGTCTTGCTGCCACATACACAAGTAAATATTGTGGCCTAACTAGCCTACTCATACAAGGGGTAATGGGAGGGAAAATGATCTACCTTACACTCCTGGCTCACGACGCCTGTCCCTCGATGGTGTGAGGGTCCCACGCTTCCTTGGGTCGATCCTCGACGATCCAGGGCGTTCCACAGGTCCTCAGGTGTCGTGAAGCCTTCGCGTCGTCGCCGTTCCAATCCCTGAGGTTCAGCTGCCCCAATCCTGGTTCATCGATGGGCGCTGAGCTAATCACTATTTTTCCCCACACTCGCCTCTCCCACAGGGCGTCGCTCCTTGTCCTAGGCACTGTGTCGTCCTTCCAAGATTCTCAGTGGATGTGACCCCAGTCACAGCTAGCTTGCTCGCCCACTTCCCAGACCTCAACGTCCAGCCAGCGGCGCCGCCCAGCGTCGTCGCCGACTATTTTCCAAGTTTGGGCACTTCTCTGCTCACTGAACTTGGTTCCTCTTTGGCTTCCCAGAAGCGCAGGGTCTCCAATAACTGGGATGACTGCGACAGCCAGCTCAATCCACTGAACAAGGCTTGCAGAGCCTCCAATCCCTGAGAGCAGACCGAGGCGCGTCCTGTCGCTTCCACGGTCAGTACAACTCTGACGTTGGCGCCGCCCGGGGCACTCGGTGACGTCATGGCGGGCCCTGATTTGTCGCCCGCGACCTACGTCGGCCAATCCGCGATCGGCATAGTGTCCCTTCCACAAGGTCACATCTGCCGTAGGGGATACTGTTTCATTTATAACAGGGCGCCAATTTTCCTTTATTTACAACTTATAATATAACCTCCTTCCATAAAATGGCAGCCGGTCTGGTCGCCACATATATCATTAGACTCCCTGAACCTCAGAGAATCAGTAGGGAGAGCTGATATGACTCTTTAAGCCGGCAAACGAAAGAAATAGGAGAGGGCACCGTAACATAATATATATATATATATATATATATATATATATATATATATATATATATATATATATATATATATATATATATATATATATATATATATGTCGTACCTAGTAGCCAGAACACACTTTTCAGCCTACTATGTAAGGCCCGATTTGCCTAATAAGCCAAGTTTTACTGAATTAATATTTTTTCTCTAATTGTTTTCTTATGAAATGATAAAGCTACCCATTTCATTATGTATGAGGTGAATTTTTTTTTTATTGGAGTTAAAATTGACGTAGATATATGACCGAACCTAACCAACCCTACCTAACCTAACCTAACCTATCTTTATAGGTTAAGTTAAGTTAGGTTAGGTAGCCGAAAAAGTTAGGTTAGGTTAGGTTAGGTAGGTTAGGTAGTCGAAAAACAACTACTTCATAAAAACTTGGCTTAGTAGGCAAATCGGGCCTTGCATAGTAGGCTGAGAAGTGCGTTCTGGCTACTAGGCACGACATATATATATATATATATATATATATATATATATATATATATATATATATATATATATATATATATATATATATATATATATGTCGTACCTAATAGCCAGAACGCACTTCTCAGCCAACTATGCATGGCCCAATTTGCCTAATAAGCCAAGTTTTCATGAATTAATGTTTTTTCGACTACCTAACCTACCTAACCTAACCTAACCTAACTTTTTCTGCTACCTAACCTAACCTAACCTATAAAGATAGGTTAGGTAGGATTGGTTAGGTTCGGTCATATATCTACGTTAATTTTAACTCCAATAAAATAAAATTGACCTCATACATAATGAAATGGGTAGCTTTATCATTTCATAAGAAAAAAATTAGAAAAAATATATTAATTCATGAAAACTTGGCTTATTAAGCAAATCGGGCCTTGCATAGTAGGCTGAGAAGTGCGTTCTGGCTATTAGGTACGACATATACGACATATATATATATATATATATATATATATATATATATATATATATATATATATATATATATATATATATATATATATATATATATATATATATATATGTCGTACCTAGTAGCCAGAACGCACTTCTCGGCCTACTATGCAAGGCCCTTTTTGCCTAATAAGGCAAGTTTTCATGAATTAATTGTTTTTCGACTACCTAACCTACCTAACCTAACCTAACCTAACTTTTTCTGCTATCTAACCCAACCTAACCTATAAAGATAGGTTAGGTTAGGTTAGGTAGGGTTGGTTAGGTTCGGTCAAATATCTATGTTAATTTTAACTCCAATAACAAAAAATTGACCTCATACATAATGAAATGGATAGCTTTATCATTTCATAAGAAAAAAATTAGAGAAAATATATTAATTAATAAAAACTTGGCTTATTAGGCAAATCGGGCCTTGCATAGTAGGCTGAAAAGTGCGTTCTGGCTACTAGGTACGACATATATATATATATATATATATATATATATATATATATATATATATATATATATATATATATAATATGACCCGGCCACGCGTTGCTGTGGCTCAGCAACGCACATCACAGCAACCTTCCCTGTCTCCCCAGTCCTCCCCACCATTCCCCACTCACCCATCCCCTCTTCCTTCCCACCATACCCCACTCCCCTGTCCCTTTGTCCTCCCCACCATTCTCCATTCCACCATCCCAAACTCCCCCGTCCCCTCGTCCTTCCCCACCATTACCCCCTCTCATGTCCCCTCGTCCTCCCCACCATCTCTCACTTCTGTCCCTTCGTCATCCCCACCATTCCCCACTCCTTCGTCCGATGCCTTCTCAAATGGTCTGATGTTCCCATCAGAAAATTGGGAACACCAAGTTATCTGATGTTCCCCATCACTGAAATATAAGAAAGACTGTTAAAAAAATAAAAAAATTAAACGCAGTTCGCACAAAATAATTAAATCAAAATGAGAATAAATCAAAATCTATGAAAATTCAATTTATAAATGCAATCAGAAACATTGAAATGGAATTGTAACATATTTAGTATAGCATGTGCGTTCCTCTTACATGAAACAGATGGCGCAGTTTTTCAAGAAATGCATAGTTTTACCTGTAACAGGTGTGACACCTATACTTATTCTTATGAAATGAACGGTATGGTAAACAACACAGCTCAATTCCAACACAATGTCACACAAAATAATTCAATAAAAAAAAAATCGAAATCAATGTAAATAAAATTTATCAATGTAAATAAAATTTATCAATGCAATCGGAAACATTGAAATGGAATTCGTGACATATTTAGTATAGCGTGCATGTTGCTATTATGTGCAACAGATGGCGCTGTGTTTCAAAAACGCATGTTTTAACCTGTCACAGAGGTGGCATCTATATAGTAGGTATATAAAAAAACGCGCATATTCGAATGGAACGTTGTGTCAGATTTTTTTTTCTTGCTATTATCGATGTTGATTCAATGATTCTCGAGTACAGTTTGCCCACTGGTAGAGAGAGAGAGAGTGGGAGATATAACGGGAGAGAGAATGGGAGGGAGAAGGAAGAGAGAGAGAGAGAGAGAGAGAGAGAGAGAGAGAGAGAGAGAGAGAGAGAGAGAGAGAGAGAGAGAGAGAGAGAGAGAGAGAGAGAGAGAGAGAGAGAGAGAGAGAGAGAGAGAGAGAGAGAGAGAGAGAGAGAGAGAGAGAGAGAGAGAGAGAGAGAGAGAGAGAGAGAGAATGCTTAGGGCGGATATTGGGTGGTAGGAAAAAGGGGAGAGAGGGATAATGGGTGGTAGGCTGAATGCTAGAGAGCGAGTTCAAAATGATTTTCCTTAAACTACTAATTATGTATCATTGGGCATGTTAATAATGAGGTGAAAAAAAATATCATTAACAAAAGTGAGAACATATTTATATTATGCTCTTATTTTAGTCTTGTATGGTCCATACGTTATGTTTGTTCTGGGGTTATATCATAGGTTTATTATAGCCTAGGAATTATAATTGTGTGTATTAGTGACCAGAGTGACCGAGAGTTATTAAGATGTGGGGATATCTTTATAATTATGTATCCATTCCTAACACCTGACACTGAACGTTAAACATGTCAATTGCGGTATAATCTACTCTTTGTACCCTTGACTAAACCTTGGTAGATTTTTACCGTGACCAGACAAACAGAACAGTTACATTTATTAGTGGTGAGAATTAGAAGAAAGTTAATGTTTCAACAAAATATTTGCTCTGTTACGAACAATCTAAGTGCTGTTAGGCCACTTACACCACATATTTACTGGCCACTTGCATGGTCTGTAGATATGTAGTTTTATTGTTTAAGTCTTAAATTTACTTCCTTATCAGAACAGTAATCAACTTATTATATTTAGAGAAATATTTAGTACATTCAAGTCAATATTAAACGGTATTGAGAATCATGTCCTCGCTAATATGTGATTTTGAGATACACGTTACCTTCGGGAATCTATACGATTTGCTTTTTTGTCGGTGCTATATCGAGACTACCAACATATGCACCCATTATGTGATTCCAGATTCCTCTATACTGATGATTAGCTAATACAGTTTATGAGAAGAGCACCAAAATAGCTTAGAGCTGAGAGCGGTAAGTTGGCTTGTCATTGTCATATGAACAACACTTAGGAAAAATATCGTTTCCCCTTTGTGACTGTAATTCACAGTTAAAATAATAAATCTTTAAGAAAACTGGGAGCAACCTGTCTGACAGTAGCACCGTTCGACTATGCGCAGGTAATTTCCAACAGTGCAGTGTATGTTACGCTGCTACCGTTGACATAATTCTTACTCCATAAATCACTGCTATTCTATGGTACCATATAAACATTTTGTGTAAACTGAGAAAACTCTCCCACTTCCAGGTCTGTTGCTGGCTTGTCTGACTTTCATTTTGGAGCTGATCAACAAAAGAAGGCGGCCAGCGCTCCTCGCATGAGCTTGTCTGACCATCCTCGTCTGATGCCTGATCACCATCTTCTCTTGAATTGCTTTGACTATTTATTTCTTCTCTGGCTGTCCTCACCTAGATGTCTCTGATCGCACTCTCTCTAGAACATTGCTGAGCATCTAAAATTCCATTTATATTATGAAGAAAAAAATTTCATTATGTATTTCGATTTGTTGATAATTATTATAGATAAAATTATTAGGACTTATCTATTGAATAAATAGTGATGAACTAATGAGAAGTTTAATTCAAAAGAAATACTGTCCTTGAATGAAAGGCTTAATTTTCTTTCTTGATGATAGACTACATAGTAGGTTACTTAGTAGCAATCCAAAAGGTATACTTTTGTTTTTATTCACGTCAATAACATTGCAAAATTTGAAAACTACTCCAGCATAAACCCAGTGACCCTTGTAATAAGCAATACAGAACTTGTCATTCTTTAAGAAAAAATTTACAAATTAAATTGTTTAGGAAATAGTAAATACAAGTTAAACAATGCTGTCTGATTTCATATAAACAAAAGTGTAGTCATGTTTCTTTACATGTGTCAATGAAAAGTTAACAGTCTCAAAATTGCAAACAGAGGCCTAATGAACGAAGAGTTTTGTTCATGCAGAACTCGAACTGTTCATGCAGAATAATTGCATTCATTTAGCACCGACTGATTTACACAAATAAATTTTACCTTTGGCTATCACTAGAGTAAAATTTTGATTAGAAGTTATCAGGAATATTTGTATAATATTCTTTTTGTAAAATATTATTTAATATAATATTCAATATAATCTTTAATATAAAATAATATTTAATACAATATATTATTTAATATCTATAATATAATATTTGTTTAATATTCTATTTGTATAATATTGATTATAATAATAAACAACGGAAAGAAATAATATAATAAGCAATTAGTAGATATTAGTGAAGGTTAATGATTGCCACTTAAGAGCATGACTCTTTTGGACGTTATCCAGATCTTTCGCTCATGTTGTACTTTGTCATATTTTAATCAATATTAAACAAATACAACTAAACTGTGCATCAGGAACAATGTCTACATCTCATTTAACGTTACATTGATAAGTACCACAATAAAACCTAAGATGTACGCAATTACCACAATTAAAGCCATAATTATAATCGACCCTGAGGCCCTTATACACAGTCACATAACATAACCATGAGTAAAGTACTCTCAATGAGCCCCAACACCCAATGGATCACATAACAGTGCATGAGTCCCACCTAACACTAATGTAATTTAAACCCTAAAATGCAGTCTTTAAAACAGTCATGTGTATAAGTCGATTCTTCTGATCGAAAAACCAGCAATAAATGACAATGAAAGACACATTCAAGGCATCAATGTACAAGCACAAATATTATTGAAAATTATTATATGGTGTGTCGCGGCCCTTCCAGACAACCCACCAAAATCTCGTAGAGTGATTATACTTTGATCAGGAGATCATCCTGTATGCTTCCTGCTCTTGGAGATGGGCTCAGCGTCACACATTAAGGGCGTGCGGCTCCAACACTGGCCTCGTTGTCACGTGCACACACCCAATTCGAGCCGTTGTGACTCCCCACTCTCCCCTTATTTGGTATGACCTCATCAATCCCCCTTTATTTTCAATTATAACTCTATACCACCCTGTCCACAGCTATGGGTCACAGGTGTGGCATCTATACATATATTTACGAAATGAACGGTATGGTAAACAACACAGCTCAATTCCAACACAATGTCACACAAAATAATTCAATAAAAAATTAAATAAATCGAAATCTATGAAAATAAAATTTATCAATGCAATCGGAAACATTGAAATGGAATTCGTGACATATTTAGTATAGCGTGCATGTTGCTATTATGTGCAACAGATGGCGCTGTTTTTAAAAAACGCATGTTTTTACCTGTCACAGGGGTGGCATCTATATAGTAGGTATATAAAAAGACGCGCCTATTTGAATGCAACGTTGTGTCAAAATTTCAAAGCAATCAGTGAAGAACTTTGGGAGATTACAGCATGTGATGGGGTTGCTCCTGAGCTACCGTGCAGTGAGGACGTGTCGCCTGCTGCTCCGGTGGTTTGAGTCGGTTCTCACTACGTGTAGAGAGCCATGGGGAAGGCTCAGCGCAAGAGGGAATGGAAGCAGCTTTCCGACGAGGAAGGACGGGGGACCGATGTGCAGCAGGCCCCAAAGAAAACTGCTATCGAGGCTTTACCACTTGCTTCTACCAGCAAGTCAGCGGACGTAATGGACCTAGAGAGGACAGCGTCAGTCACACACCAGCCAGTGTCAGTCAATGCTTCTCTGTCCGCAACGCTGCCGCGGGACGGCAGTATGAGTCAGGAGAGGACACCACCGGTTTCACGCCAGCCAATGTCGGCCATTGTTCCTCTCTCCACAGCCCAGCCGCAGGACAGCAGTATGGGACAGGGGAGGACACCACCAGTCTCACACCAGACATCGCCAGCCTCTGCACTTCTTCCGAAATTCAAGATCATGCAGACCGACCACTTTCCTACAGCATATGGAGTAGTAACGGCGATGGAAAAAGAACAACCAGAGCTCAAACTTTCCATTACAGTCAACCTGAAGGGAGAAATAATACTGACACCTCAAGACCAACAGACTGCACATTACTTAGAGAAGGTAAGAGTCCTGCAGGGGAAACCTGTGTGCTTGGTAAAGCTGGACCCTTCAGAACGACGCACACGAGTCGTGCTTTTGGGATACCCAATCGACTTTCCCCTGGATCCAGTGCTAGAACACAAGCAAGTCCTGAGTGCGGAACGTTGCCACACAAAAGTAGACAAGGCAGCGACGCGTCAGGTTCTGGTGACCGTCATGGGACATGTGCCGGAAACTTTCGGTCTTGGAAATTGGGGGACATACCGACAGAGGCCATACGTCCCGGAACCCCTACGCTGCTTCAGGTGTCAGAAATACGGCCACCATCAGTCACGCTGCACAGGACAGGAGAGGTGCGGAGTGTGCAGCCTGAGACATCCCACCAAAGACTGTATTGCCAAGCACAAGGCAAACCAGACCACAACAGCCAAATGTCCAAATTGTGGAGGCAAACATCATGCCTGGAGCACAACCTGCTCTGCACGGAAACAAAAAGTGCAGACAGCTCAGGCCAGGGTCAACACACTGACCAGCGGTACATCCACCAACACCAACGTCTGGAACACTCGTGCACAGCCACAACAGCCACCCGCTCTCACAGAGCAAAATTTCCCGAATCTGTCAATTCCGAATCAGACATTACACGAAAGTGTTGCAGAAGTCCAGCAAGTGCAACTGAGCAGAAAACACTTACTTTCGGAATCTACTCCCCAGCTATACAGTTTTACCGAGGTCCAGCTGCAAACCATCGTGAAGATCATGGCAGAAACCATTATCAATTGCCTACAGATGACGCAGAACGCCTCACAACAACAGACTGAAGACATCACTTGTGTGATAATGGACAAGATCGTGCAGCAGACCACAGTTACACGAGAAATAGACAGTCTCCGACAGGATGGAGCACAAGAGGACAAACAACGCAACTTGGACATACTGACTACCGACAACAGTCGGCTAGTCAAGACACCGGAACATCGACATTCACAAACGCAACTGCAAGACGCAGTGACCACCCACGATCAACAGAATCTTCCAACACAGGAGACAGACAACAACAGCCAATGCAGTCTGATCTGCAGCAACGCCAACAAAGACGTATTGAACAGCAGAGATGCGCAGGTTCCGCCAACACAAGAAACGGCCGCGAGCAATCAATGCAGTCCGACTTGCAGCAATACCAACAACAAAGTGATGGACCACAGTTCTGCACAGATTCCAACAATGCCGGGGTTGACCACGGACAATCAATGCAGTCCGACCTGCAGCGCTTCCAACAACATAGCGATGGACCACAGTTATGCACAGATTCCAACAACGTCGGGGATGACCACGAACTATCAATGCAGTCCGATTTGCAGCGACACGACTTGCGAGGCGGAGAATATAGAGGTCGATTCCGAGGAGGAGTTCTAGTAGAACAAGCAACACCAACCGAACCCGTCGTCTGGCCATTACGAATTCTGCAGTGGAACATACAAGGTCTTGGAAATAAAAAACACACACTTCAGGAGGCTGCAATCAGCACGAAAGCAGATATAATCGTTTTGGAAGAAACTCTTTTCCCAGCCACGAAATCCTTCAGATTAGCTGGATATCAGCACTATGTTCTCCCGTATGAGCAGGGGAGACTAAGAGGATTAATGACCCTAGTCAGAAACACCATACCCAGCAAGAAAATAGACTCGGTTTCATGTGGGGATGGAGTAGAGGTATTAGCAGTTACAGTGAATATGGCTAATTTTGAGCTCCTCATATACAACGTCTACAAGCCCCCTAGACGTAAACTAGAAGCAGAGGCAGTGCTTGCCTTGGCCACGCAGGAAAATTTAATTCTTGCTGGAGATTTTAATGCTCATCATCCAGAGTTAGGTGCAACTGGGCCAGCCAATGCAGATGGGCGCCATTTAGCTGCAGCTCTGCGAGAAGTACCTGAAATTACACTTCTCAACACTGGGGAACCCACTCACATTCTAGGAGGTTCCCTTGATCTTACATTCATCTCCACAGCACTCCAGCAACAGGCGAAGTGGGAAGTAGACCCGGTGATCACTAGTGACCACTATGCTACTGTCACGACACTCAACCTGGCACGACCTCCTACACCTCCTGCGCGGCCTCGGTGGAATTTAGGAAAGGCCAATTGGAATGTATACCAGGAAGAACTTGAAAAATGGTATGCAACGTACACGCCACCTGAGGATTTGAACATACACGAGACCAATCTGCAGGAAGCCGTTGCAGCTGCTGCGAACAAAGCTATTCCAATCATTATCACAGGTAACACGAAACGAAAGAACTATTGGTTCTATAGTAATGACGTTAAAGAACAGAACCACAGAGTCAATATCTTCAGAAAACATCTAAAGAGAAACCCCACACCAGAAGGAAGAACTCTGCTACGAGCGGTGATATCTGAAGCAAGGCGAGTTTCTCGAGAAGTAAAGGAGGCAAGATGGTTTGAGTGGTGTCAAACTCTAAATGAACATAGTAGTCTTGGCAAGATATGGGGTCAGATTA